CTCTCTCTCTCCTCTCTCCTCTCTCTCTCTCTCTCTCTCTCTCTCTCTCTCTCTCTACTATATATATATATATATATATATATATATATATATATATATATATATGAACATTCTTAATATATATTCTGTTGATCCAACTCAAAACATTCTCTCACCTAGGCATTTCGTCCAGCCACCCTGGTCTTCCTCGGGAGACTTGTCACGTGGCTTCTTGTGACGTGTCCATTCACTTTACGGGGGCTGACATCGTCTACCAGATACCTTTGACCTAGTGCTGACGTCACACTTTAACCCTAAACAGTACACCTGGGGTCCGCGCGGACCCCAGCACTATATATTCTGTAGTATCTTTTTTGTTTCTAAAGATTTTTTTCTGAAATTTAAGGTAATTGTCACCCACAAAGTTGTCTCTCAATACAGTGCAGAAAACTCCGTTTCTACCATTTATAAAAAAAATTATATTTGATGTTCTTTTGGGGTCCGCGCGGACCCCAGCCGGCTTTCGATCATAATGGATACATTGGCGTTCTTATACATTACCTTATTTCCGTTTTTATATGTTTTTATGCACTCATCTTATGTCTACCAAGTTTTCAGAGAATGGTGAAGTAATAGAATTAAATTTTAATAACTTTGGGGTAATTATGACGTCATGTGACGTCAGAGCTAATAATATAGTCCGCCATATTGGATTTTGACCAATGACGTCATCAAATTAGCATATTCTATGCATATTAAATGATTAAACTTATATTTAATTATGTAAGATGTTATTAATGTTGGAAAAGAAGTGTAATTTATTATAAAACTCAGAAAATTTTTATGTTTAAACCAAAATTACTTTTATTTTGAAAAATAGAAACCCGTTGCCATGGCAACACAAAAAAAAACATTCTCCAAATTTGATACTTCTAGCGCAAGCTGTTTAGCCGCTATCTCAGATCAAAGTTGGGCCTCAAAAGCCCCTTCAGTCTGAAATTGGTTTAAAAATCGGGTATTTCTTCTTGTCTTCTTTTCTTCACCAAAAAGTAGAAAAAGATCAAAATGTATGATATTTGTTTGTAATGTGGACACAGAGGTTCCCACATCAGTTTGCAAAACAATTGAGCTGGTAGCATGTTGATAATTTCTAAAAATTAGCAAAAAACTGCTCTGGGGTCCGCGCGGACCCCAGGTGTACAGATTAATCAGTCCGGGAAGGTGTACTGTTGAGGGTTAAAGAAGCCACAGGGTCAGTATCCTGAGGAAGACCAGAGTAACTGGTCTAAACCTCTAGGTGAGAGAATGTCTTTGTGTTGGGGCAAAAGTTTTAAACAAATATGCTCACACCATTGTCTCTACAAATCACCCGCTCATAATCTATGTCGAAGACACCTAGATGCTGATGGCGTTGGGGATGTTTTTCGGGTCCAGATAATCGTAAGGCTGGAAACGTTGCTTCTTGTTTTTATACTTGATCTCACTGGAGATTCGGGCCAGGTCTTGCTGAAATCTGGTTTAGAATAAAACAAGAAATGAGATGGTGTGTCATTTTTAATAAAATGACCAATTTCTTGAAGCTATGTGAATTTAAGGCTCACTAACGATGTTATTTATTGATATGTGCAATTTACCCTCAAAAACCAGGCAAATGATAATTCTTGTAAAATTTTATAATGTAATATTGTCAAATGAGGTTATTGATTGATGTTAAATGTGTAATATTTACGTTAACAAAGCTGTTTAAGTACAATGTCATGTAGTTAAAAATAAATGCAAATATAGTCGTTATAATATAATATGTATTTCATGTAAGGGGATTCCAGGAAAAGTAATGTTGGAGATTTTTTAATAAACAATCGCTACAATGATATGCGTATTATAACGAAAGGTATTTTATAAATTGCAATAGAAAAAAATGTTTACTTCAAGATGACTTGGTCAACCGCCTCTCCCCGCAGGTACTCTATGTCAAAGTCACCCAGAGGTTGTGTCGCACGTTCACTGAGGATCGACATTATGGTGTTGATTCCAACGGCTTCTAGCTTTGACGGAAGTGCATCGAGGATGTCTTGTTCCGACAATGGATCCTAGTATTTCGAGGCATGAGAAAGGATAGAAAAACATTAGCCCTGTATTTGTATTTCCTGTTTGTCGTTTTGCGTGTCAATGACCTGAACCAGACGTTTGTCACTATGGTAACTAGAGTTTGTTTACATCATGTCACTATGGTAATTAGAGTTTATTTAGATCATGTTGCATTTTTTAGAATTTTAACCATACACAATGTCATGTATGCAAAGCTTGGATCTTAATAATGTCAAACTTTAGCTTTCAAATATTACTATATCCGAGGTCTACAAGAATATTGCGGATATGTAATCAAATGTAAATACCAGATATTTGCAATTCAAATTCATATTCCTTATGCGACTAGACTTATGACAACTCCTGCATACTATACATGGGGAAGTATATTAAAGTCTGTATATGGATAATGCCCCAATGATTCTATAAAAAAACATACATATCCCATACTAGCCACCCACCCTTTTATTAGTTAGGTTTGCCTTTTGAAAATGTATTTGATTATATTTAATAGATACCATTCCAATAAAGGTATCACGTTACAATAAACAAGCTCGCACAATAGAGTGTAAGGAAATGAATTTGGAACCTTAGTTTTGGGTGGGTCCTTAATAAGTATCAGCGGCATGGCTGGTACAAAGCCGTACTGGTCAAACTGCATGAAGTTGACAGCTGCGTGCTGCACGCTACTGGTGAAGATGATGCATGTCAGGGTCTGGATCAGCTCATCAAGGGTGGAGAACTTTCCGTTTCCAGGAACTCCCTAAATACAGAAAAAATTATCATCAATAAATGACAGTTTGATACTAGAAAGGTAATATTTGCAAAGCAAATGCATCATGCTTACCTTCGCATACGGTCTGGTTCGCGTATGGTTAATTACCTTCGCCAAGAAGGTTATGTTTTCAGGGGCGTTCGTGTATGTGTGTGTGTGTCTGTCTGTCTGTAAACACGATAACTTGAGAAGGCCTTGATGGATTGTCTTGATACTTGGTAGGTGGGTAGGTCTTGATGAGACCTCAAAATGATTAGATTTTGGACCCCCTAGCGGCTTGTTATGGTACTGCAGCTGAACTTCCGGTTTTGATATCTCATGATCTAGACATGCTATGGTGATGAAATTTAGATGGTAGGTAGCTCTTGTGCTGGGGAAGAAGTGACGTGAGTTTAGGCCCCCTAGCGGCTTGCTCTGGAACTGCAGCGATATATTCTTGAAAATATTCAAAAGGGGATAACTTAAGAACCGGTTGACGGATCGTCGTGAATTTTGGTATGTAGGTAGCTTACGTGATGCTTAATATAATTATGTGACAATTATGCAAATATGGATGTAATTTGCATAATTGATGGGGAAATTCAGCTGTATTCCATGATAGGACAATTAAAGCTTGTGACATTGGTAATTGACAACGAAAGAAACACAGGAAAATATTGATTATGTTAATAATGACCTAATTTGCATAATTAATGAGAAAATTTTATAATTATGTAATGATAACTGCCTGGAATTTCATACTTGTGGTATTTGAAAGTTAAATTGAGGTGAACATCATTAAACATAATTTATTCAAATCAGGACCTCATTTGCATAATTTATGAGGAAATGCTAGAATGCATTGTTTGTTAGTATAAGACTGTTGAGATTATGATAAAATGATATACTTCATGAAAATTAGGTTCCTATTTCTTAAATCAGGGGGGAATAATCTAATGTATAATTTGTCAGTCATAAAGATTAACATCATTTGGCGAAGGTATGAGATCGGGGAACTCTAGTTCTTACTCAAACGCATCCATATATGGTGACAGTAGTCTAAATCACTCCTGCTATAAATTGCAACATTATGTAAACAAACACTAGTTCATTGACCTTCTTTGTTTAGAGGAGAAGAAAAAATAGAAAAAAAAATGTTTCTCCTCTACATACAAACAAGGTAAACATAAATATAGCAAAACGTCAGCTTATTCTAATACTTACACATTATGTTTCCCGTGTTAGTTATTCAAATTGGGATCGATGGCGCAGTGAAGAACACGTTTGTTTTCTCTCAGCATCTGTACACTTTATGAAGCCGTTGTTTTGATGAACGAATTCTAGGTCATTCTTTACTGAGCAACAGTGTTAAGATTCATCAACTATAAATCTGTGAATACCTTGATTGCAGTTTTGCCATCCTCTGTGCATACAAGAGCCTTTGCAAATGCCTGGATCTCGAAATCTTCTTGTAGTTTTTCGGAATCACCTAGGAAAGACAAATGTTATTTTTGAGAGTTTTGCGACCCTATACTTCATGCCAGGTCCGCCATTTGTATGTGTTAAACAGCAACTCTGGCCAGGTCTTCTCGCTGCGTTATCATTGGTCAGCCAATCACATAATCTGCCCACATGTTGTTGGAGGGAAAATTACCAGCCAATCATGTTGCCTCTTGGCCGTACGAGGCAAAGTGATTGGCTGTTGACGACTTGCTATCGCTTCATGCAGACTAGTTAAAGCACAGGGCGCGGGCAACGGTCGTTATTTGACATATACATATTAATAGAAGCTGAGGGGCTGGTATGATAAGAATGGTAGATATTGTGTCGTTTACTATTTTCTATGTAATATCTGTGTAATAACAATACATTTATCAATTCAAAAGCAATGTTAAGGTTTATTTCCAGCTCCTAAGTACCAAATATTCGATCGTGTTTTGCAGACCTACCATCTTTGCCATAGAATATCTGTACTATTCCTGTGACATATTCTTTAATGGCGTTGTAAATGGGCATTGCATCATCCCTATAGTAGTACTTTGGAAGGGCCTCCACGTCATCAACCTAATTAAAAAAAAACGAAAAGGTGAATGGTACGATTCCGGTTTTACTTGACACTTTTTGTAGGCACAAACCATTATTGCAGAGAAGCCAAATCAAACATGATTTATAAACCTGTATAACCTAAGATAGCCACATGAAATAAAAAATACAAGTAGTTGAATATTTTTGAATGACAGTATACTCACTCCACGATTCTTGAGATCTTCAGGCAGAGTTCCATCTACGTCCATTCTCCATGTCTGCAGTCTGTTGGAGAGAAAGAGCGATTTAGCTTTTATTATTTAGTTTGAAATATCTATTATTTTAGAGCCATCACATAGGTACACATGATCTTTTTTATCAACTGGAGTATATTATCTTGTGTGTTACAGCAATACAGATACAGATATTGCATCGTTAAAGTCGCATGGCTCAGCAACGTAAAGAACCCCCTTGTTCCTACAACTGATCTTACTGTAAGGCCACAGCAAGTAAATTTTATGGATGACATCCTCCGCAGACTCCAAATCTAATGCGAGCGGGTGAAAAAAACAAGGCGGGCCGAAAATAACAAGGTTCCTACATTTGAAAAGTTTGACTCAACCATTGTACAAATGGTTTTGATTCAGTGGGAACATCACATATACACAGCCAGCATCACATATCACTGCATCAAAGTAAGAAACAAAACTTAAATCAGAGTCTTTTCTTGTCTCATCTCTTCATAGCTATCTACCATCCACCTTTCGGCATGGCAACAGACATCTTTGCCCATTTTCGACATGTTGACCACTGTCAGAAGGCAACAAAATTTTTTTTTTTTTTCCAAATCAGGTGAAAATAAATGCGCGCGTGGATGTCATCCATAAAAATTACTTGCTGTGGCCTAATCACTACATAATATTCTTTTAATACGTGTTTACTTGAGAGACATTAAAGGACCAAACAGGCTTCAACATCAATGCATTGAGATGATATTTATATGTAATCATTCGGAGATATTGTCATTATTGTTATTATCATAAGTAGTAAATGTATATTATCGTATAGCCATGCAGGCGATGTCAACCAATGGGAATTCTACATTTCCCATTGGTTATCAGGTCGTAAAATGTAAGTGGTTTCTTCGGTTGGTTATCGCACCTGACCACGGATTATCTCACCATATACACATTGGGGCAGGTATTAACCCTTTGAAGACATACCCGCACTCCCCTTGAACATAGATTATGTAAATATTGTAACTTGAACAAATTAGAAGACGAACGCCATTTTGTAACAGAATGTGAATTGTATAGCCAAGAGAGAAATGAACTGTATACATTTGTACAACACCTATTCCCCTATTCCACGCACTTAAGTAGTGTAGAAAAATTCATATTCCTTATGCGACTAGACAAGCCACCCATCGAAAAACAGATCTGTACGTTTATTGCTGCAATAACAGTAAAGCGAGGAGAAGTTGAATTTATATAACGATAGTTAATTTTGTATTTGTTAACCATGTTCATTCTTATTGTTTTGTTGTGACCTGTACTTAGCCAAGTGTGGCAGAAATGTGCAATAAAGGTCTTCATTCATTCATTCATTCATTCATTCATTATTTCTATGACACATCGAACCTTTACAAATTTTTAAAAAGTAGAACCTATATAGGCCTAGTGTGTCACCTTTCTTTGATAAGCTCGAAGGCACCTTTCTCTCCGATATTCGAGACTTTGCTAAGGGTTCCTTCATCGCTGATTAGGACTTCCCTAGCGAAGCTGAAAAACATGTATATGATAAAAGAGAATTAATGACAAATAGGGTGTTTAATTGGCTAAAAAAACATATAAAAATCCCCTTGCAAATATGTAAATGTAATCAGATAATTTACCTGACCTGTTATGTACAGAAACATTGCCAGAGTGTACATTTCAGTTTCACGTAATACGGTGCAATTTTACGGAATACAGTGCAATTTTATTAGTATACAGTGCAATTTTACGGAATATACTAGTAGTGCAATTTTACTAGTATACAGTGCAATTTTACGAAATGCAATACAATCGTATTAGTATACAGTGAAATGTTACGGAGTACAGTGCAATTTTACTATAATTATACAGTGCAATTTTACTAGTAAAATTCCACTGTATACTAATACGATTGCACTGTATTCCGTAAAATTGCACTGTAGAATAGTAAAATTGCACTGTATACTAATACGATTGCACTATGTTCCATAAAATTGCACTGTATACTAATGTGATTGTACTGCATTCCGTAAAATTGCACTGTGTACTCTGGCACCCCTGGTACAGTTAATAAGGCCTGATAGCAGTCAGTGATGGTATCCTACTTGTTAATGGCCAGTAGCTTGAAGAAGTGAGGCTCCAAAAGACGCTGGATTGGGTGCGAGCGGGAGAGTGTAGTCTTGGCCGCAAGAGCGCATGCCTCAACCACCAGGTGGGTAAAACCTGAAAAGGAACGAAGCAAAGGTTACGTCTAAGGCCACACCAAGTAAATTTGATGGATGACGTCTGCGCGCGCATTGATTTTGGCCTGTTCCTAGAAAAAAAAAGAAATTCCGCTTCCTGTAACTATGACCAAAGAGTCACAACAGTACCGCAAATCGTTAGATTGACGTGAAACCCGTAACGCGAAATGGGTAAAGAGCACATGCTTTGTTTCTGCGTGGGCCTGCAAAAATGTAATGAAAGAAACAGGACAGGACGACAACTGCTGTTCCACCTGATTTATTGCTGTGTCCTAACATTTGTCTCTTAGTATATTTCTAATCTAGGCATCTTGTTTTCTAGGGCCCTTTTCTTTCGCCCTCTCGCATTAGATATAGGGTCTCCAAAGGACGTCATCTATAAAATTTACTTGGTGTGGCCTAAAGAACAATATGGCGTTGGCCTTCCTAGTGGCAATTTTAGCATTGTGTAAAATGAACATAATTATGATATTCAGATTTTTTTTTAATATGCCTACTACAATGTAATATAAGTATCTGCACGGTCGATTTTAAAAAGGCATTTGACCTGAACAACGACGTACAGACATGAGAATATTTGTCGTTGTGTTTACTGAATTGTATAGATATGTTATATTAAAAAAAAGACAAAGAATAGTACCGAGGTGGGGCACAGCCTGGTGGTAGTTCCCATCTGCGCAGTTGAACCACATTTTGGCATAAAGCCAGGTGTAAGGCGGGTCGCTTGGCAGGAACACCTGTGGTTTGGACATATACCGTTCTAGACTTTTAGCTTTCGACACACACAATTATTTATAGAACCTCTCATACCAAGCCTACTGCTTAACCCTAAACAGTACACCTGGGGTCCGCGCGGACCCCAGCACTGTATATTCTGTAATATCTTTTTTGTTTCTAAGGATTTTTTTCTGAAATTTTAGGTAATTGTTACCCACAAAGTTGTCTCTCAATACAGTGCAGAAAACTCCGTTTCTACCATTTATAAAAAAATTATATCTGATTTTCTTTTGGGGTCCGCGCGGACCCCAGCTGGCTTTCGATCATAATGGATACACTGGCGTTCTTATACATTACCTTATTTCCGTTTTTATATGTTTTTATGCACTCATCGTATGTCTACCAAGTTTTCAGAGGATGGTGTAGTAATAGAATTAAATTTTAATGACTTTGGTGTAATTATGACGTCCTATGACGTCAGAGCTAATAATATAGTCCGCCATATTGGATTTTGACCAATGACGTCATCAAATTAGCATATTCTATGCATATTAAATGATTTAACTTATATTTAATTATGTAAGATGTTATTAATGTTGGAAAAGAAGTGTAATTTAATATAAAACTCAGAAAATTTTTATGTTTAAACCAAAATTACTTCTATTTTCAAAAGAATAGCCCGTTGCCATGGCAACACAAAAAAACATCAACTTACTAGTATTAAACTAATATGAACTTTTTTCCAGAGACATTTTAGGAAAGGTCTCCAAATTTGATACTTCTAGCGCAAGCCGTTTAGCCGCTATCTGAGATCAAAGTTGGGCCTCAAAAGCCCCTTCAGTCTGAAATGGGTTTAAAAATCGGGTATTTCTTCTTGTCTTCTTTTCTTCACCAAAAAATAGAAAAAGTTCAAAATGTATGATTTTTGTATGTAATGTGGACACAGAGGTTCCCACATCAGTTTGCAAAACAATTAAGCTAGTAGCATGTTGATAATTTCTAAAAATTAGCAAAAAACTGTTCTGGGGTCCGCGCGGACCCCAGGTGTACAGATTAATCAGTCCGGGAAGGTGTACTGTTGAGGGTTAAAACATTAGGCTAGATTCCCGGAAGGCAGGCCTGCGTATCGTGCTTTTTCCACCGCTAGCGCTGGCCACCAGTCAACAACCAATTAGATCCTCCTCCTATATTGTTTGAGTGAGCCAATCACGTTGCATCTTGACCGTAGGCGGCGACGCGATTGGCTAATGAGAGCTGGCCAACACTAACGCAGTTTTAGGGACCGATTGCAAGCCGATTCTAGATATTATGCTATTGGCATCTCTTCAACGAGAAGTCTGCTAAGCTGAATTTATTCAAAACTCTTATTGATACTCTAAAATCAAGATTTGAAAAGGTATTTACGTCAAAGGGACAAGGTATAATATGGGTTGCACCAATCATATGAAAAAAAGCTATTAGTAGTTCTACTATCAATATATTACATCCTGATGTAACGCAATGGGTTATTACTAGAAAAAGGAGAAAAAAAAATCTTCCTTTTAGAAACATCAGAATAAAACAGGTAATGTACCGGATGTTGCTCCTTTCCATCGTTGGGATACAGTTGGATGGCTACAGGTACCAAATCTTTCTTGTCATTGACGAAGAACAAACCATATGGTGCACACATCTGTACAGAAAATAAGGATAGTTCAATACCTTAAAGCTAATGACAAAAGAATGAAAATCTAAATGATAATATATGTAAATTATTCCAATCTAAGGTTCGATTATTAAAAAAAAATGGTTCTATCATTGTTAGCCAAATATGAAACTATGTCCATAGATATTTTCTCCTGTACCCAAATATTACACATGCCTGGCGTGTCAACGTCTGTTTTATTACCGTTATCCATGTGTTCGTGTACATAATTTAATACACGTAGTCTTTATTCATGTAATTGTATTGTAGTATGGTTTTGATATTTAATCTAATATTCTAGTGTCCAGGAGGACAACTTGCAATATTTCGCCGTCCCTTCCACTTACATATTTCTTGTACCATTGGTAAGGCCATGTTGATTTTATTATATGGATAACATCCGCGCGCGCATGAATTTTCGGCCGTTCCCAAAAAAAAAAGTTTTCAACCATACTGTAAATCGTACAAAACAGTTGCAAAATGAGCAAAAATATACCGTAAGTTACGAAAAAATAAGTAAAAACTATACCAATGTCGTAGAATGCCAAAATCAAACGAAAAAAGAGACGAAATTGTAATGAAATGAACTTGAAGATTAGATTATTCGCCAAACCATATTCTGTCCCATTTGTTCAACCCTCATGACCACGTAGATTTCATAATGAAAACAACTTTTTTTTTTTTTGCAAAACCTTTTTTTTTTATTCGCACGCGCGCATCAGTTTTGGGGCTCCCGGAGGATGTCATCCATATAATCAAATCAGCATGGCCTAAATACAAATAAATTATTTGATAAACATTTAACGTAACTCACAGGCCTGTTCTGGTTTTTGAACGCTGCTATCCCCATGTGTGAGTGGTCCACAATGTACAAACGCTTCTTATCGAGAGCTTCTTTAAGCTTGAGACCTAGCTGCGGTTCCAACATGTCTGCCGTCACACCAAACCTAAGAAAGGTATTGACAATATAAAAACATGAATTTAGTCGCCTTTGGGACCGCATTCTCTCCACTTCAGCAGTGTCTCTTAAACACACACGCACACACACACACATACACGCACGCACGCACGCGCGCGCGCGCGCACACACACACACACACACACACACACACACATACATACATACATACACACACACAAAGATACACACAGGCACACACACACACACACAATGAACACACACACACACACACACACACACACACACAGACAATGAATACACACACACACGCACTCACACACATACAGAGAGATATAAACCCACACACACTCACACGCGCACACACTCAAACACACGGACATACTCACACAAACACACAAACGCGCGCCCGTACACACACACACACTCACACAGACACACAACGACACACACGCGTGAAAAAAAGAGTAATATTCTAACTTTTCTGGAATCTTTTCACACAGTTTAATGGAGGTCGGGTTGATTCCACACAGTCGCTGTGCACCAAAGATTTCGTCCTCTTGCCATCGGAACATCCCCTGTATTTTTTTTCAAAGAATGAATGAAGACCTTTATTACTAGTATGTATATTGTACAGGTCACAACAAATAGTATACAAAAAAACATTGTTAAGTAACTACAGCTAAGTGAATTCGGTTTTTAGTAAAGGTACAGTCAAGACCAGATATGTTTCTTAATCGACTGTTTTTTAAAGTTGATTTAAAGTATGAATTTGTCTGTACTGTTTTATTGTATTGTACTGGTTTATGGCGACGTTGGTTGTTGTTAGGGTTATTGTTTGCATGGCACTGCCATGACTTCATGATTTTGAGGAAGTTTTGGTACCCTCCCGTCCCCAGAGTGTATAGTGAATGAGCCACGGGGTCAAAGAAACTGGGGCATCTGGGGGCAGACAGGTTTTCCCAAGGGTTTCCAGGAATGTGGGTATGTCAACAAATAGAGCAGGGAGACATTCCTGTGGACATTCCATGCCTGTGGAAAAAAATCCTGTACGATTCCTAGAATTCTTGCAAATTGCAAACAATAATGTACCTTTAGGCTCCTCCCTGAGACGTTGCCAAAACGTTGGCACTTGTCTATTAACAACACTGCAAAATGATAGATTGAATTCGAACATTTCGTACCTTCGGGACTTTGCAAGGCGGAAAGGCTTCGGTGCAACCTTGAAAACTGCCAAATCTTCCGCCAAAGATGGCAATCGGAAACTTGGTCAGCTGCATGATGCGTGCAGTTTTTTCCATATCATCCTGCATTGTGTGAAAACAAATATCATGGATGACATATTGTGACAATTATGATTACTTAAAGATGAGGCAAAAACATGTACAATAATCGTGATTCCATATTATATACAATTATCTATTGCACTGGCTAAATAAAGCATACATACTGTATCTCAATTGTAACTTTACTGTCATTATCACATAATAATATAACATATCAGCCTACTTTGGTTCTTTAATTTAGAAGACGATGCATGTACAGAAAAGAAAGTAATCATTATATTTAAGATTAAAATCATTATATTCATAATTATATGGATGACATTCCCTGGGAACCCCAAAACTGAGCGATTGTGCGAATAAAAAAGATGGCAAAAAAGTTGATTTCATTGTAAAATCTACTGGGTCATGAAGGTTGAACAAGTGACACAGAGTAGGGTATGGCGAATAATTTACTCTTCAAATTCATTTCTTTACATTGTCGTCTTTTTCGTTTGATTTTGGCATTCTACGACATTGCTATTGTTTTCAAATATATATATTTTTTCAACTTACGGTAAATATTTGCTCATGTTGCAACTGTTTTGTACTATTTACAGCATATAGTTGAAAACTTTTTTTTAGGAAACGGACGAAAATGCATGCGCGCGCGGATGTCATCCATATAAATCAAGATGGCCTTATGATAAACTGTAAAATAAATAAAGTTTATCAAGAGAATGAATATAGATTTGCTCAAATTCACGTACCATATCTTGTTTTGCAAACTCTTCCTCTGCAGGCAATGTTTTCACCTACCCAGAGATTTAAGAAAGATGTTAATTAAACAAGGAAAAGAACAGACTCATAAACATGGATACATCATATTCATGTATTTTTACATACTGTTAACGTAAATTTGACACATTTCCATAGATTAAAATAAAATTCATATAATTATTTAATATAATATGCTATATTGAGCAACACCACTGAATGTGTACATAATGATAAGTCAATGGCTAATCAACATGGATAAAGCATGATAAAATCTGCATGGGTAAAGGTCCGGCCAGTTGAATGGGATCTGGATAATGGTTGTTTAATTGCATGGGTTAGTATAGCTAGGCTAGTTCTGGTCTGAATCAACTGTGCTTTGTGACTACACCAACGCATCGTTTACAATTGTGCTAATGATAAACTGTTCGAAGCGTCATGACACATTATTATATATTTTTTATAAGCCTTTGCCTTAGCTTACAAACAAATATGATAATTGTTTGGTCACATCTAGGATTTCTTTAATTTATTTATCATTAGCTATTATTTTTTGGCTTGATGATTAAGATTTGGGGTTTGTTTTCTTATATCTTAGATTCCCTTAGTTTATTTATCACTAGTTAATATTTGGTAGCCTCATGATTAATATTTGGTATGTTTTAAGGAGGAGGACATTGTACAAGCCTTACAGGCTTCTTTCCTCCTCCCGCACACTGTTTTTATTTCTTTGTTTTGTATTTTCTGATTAATTCAATGTTCAATAAATAAATAAATGATATACACAATAAATAAATAAATGATATACAAAACGTACCGCAGGTAGCATTCCAGGAGCTGATACAGACGCGTAACGTTCTTTCATCTTCACCAGCTCCTCCGCGCGATCCTGGGGATTCAGGTCGTCCTTAGGAAGCTCACAGTCTCCGGGAATTAGCCACACGTGGTCGTCTATAGACAGTCACGACTTAGTACGATCTTATCATTCTTCTTTATTATTTATTCAAACAATGGTCAACATAGCAGCAATACATGAACAAAGAAAATTATGGACTGCTGAATCGTATTGATCTCGCATGTCCATAAAAATACACTGCGGGCACGACAGCAACATATACATTAGGTCGTGTTGCGTGGCGGCAGAGTGCTCGACTCGGAACCAAGAGGTCCCGAGTTCGAGACCTGACATGCTACAGATCTTGTGCCCTTGGGAAAGGCACTTAGCAGGACTTTTTTCACTTCATTCAGGTGAAAATTAGTATTGTACCCTGTGTTGGTGGCGGCATAATATAAGTTGAAAAACTTGAGTGTGTGAGTGTGTGAGTACGATCTTGTGATTACATGTTGGAATATAAAAAAAATCACTTCAAAACGCAATCTCGCGAGAGTTACGGACCTTCATCACATGAGACTTAACAACTGATACGTAAGCAATTGATTAAAATCTGTGTGTTGGAATAAAGTTCAACATTTTACTATGTGAACATACAACCAATATAGATGAACATTCATGATAATCAGTACGATCTTATCATGGAATAAAATAACTTGATATTCGAAGGCAAATCGAACTCTACTACTGAACAAATTACGGAAATTACTATCAGACGCTTCGAGCGATCCCTCACTGAATGAACTGATAAAAAAAGTCGACACTAATCACATGCGAAGGAACTGAAAATAAAGAAACAGTTTTGCAGTGGAAAAGGGACAGAATGACTGACTTTGCTTGATCCAGCGATGAACAGGGAAGTCGTATGTAGGTCCGCTGTTGTCGGGGTTGAGTTGTACAGAGACGGAGTCACAGTACCAGTCGTCATCAGGATGGGAGTCATCCCGCCACAGCTCCAGCTGAAGGATCGGGGCTGTCACCTTCACATCCTTCAGTTTATACCTTTAACAACAAAACAAAACTGGCAATGAAAACATACATTGCCATGGCGACGGTGGTTGCTGTTGGGGTTATTGTTTCCATGGCACTGCCACCATTTCATGATTTTGAGGAAGACTTGTTACGTCTAGACAGATACAGTGCACTCCTCCCCTGACTGTGGAGTGAACGAGCCTCAGGGTCACAGAAAGTAGGGCCATTGATTCGGGGCAGAGAGTTCTTCCCAAGGGTTTCCAGGAATGTGGGCATAGATGTGGGTCAGAGACATGCCTATAGACACTCCATGCCTGTAGACAAAATGCCTGTATCATGCCTAGAATTCTTGCAAACTCCACACAATACTGTACCAATGGGCTCCTCCCTGAGACGTCGCCAAAAATGTACTGTAAGTGATGGAAATGCCTAAGCAATTGTTACCTGCATGAATACTTGTTGCAAATGTGTGTGTGTGTGTGTGTATGTGTGTGTGTGTGTGTGTGTGTGTGTGTGTGTGTGTGTGTGTGTGTGTGTGTGTGTGTGTGTGTGTGTGTGTGTGTGTGTGTGTGTGTGTGTGTGTGTGTGTGTGTGTGTGTGTGTGTGTGTGTTTGTGTGTGTGTGCTTCTGCATGGCCCTTAGTTCAGATTGTAATGAATATGGTTGGGTTGAGTCTACCCTGGTGGGAGAATTGCACATCAATTACACCTGGTAGCATTCTTTGTTTTCACAAGTGTTTTTTCCGTTACATGACCTCCTTGACAGCCCTTGCACGATAAGGAAACTTGTAAACACCGTGGTGAATGAGAAGAGGACACAGTCACCCCCACACAAGATCTAAATATTTAATGTAGGTCTGTTGTAAAATACTTTACTGTAAAAATACAAAGTCACAAAATGTTATGTGCCACATTTAAATGGTTTTATGATAATTCTTAGCATTGACAAAAAGACGTGAGTCTACTTACTGTCCCTCGCATCCTTTTTCAAAGTCATCTTTCCACCACACATCCAGCTGACGTGCCTGGGACTGATGACCTTTGTCGTCGTATAGACGGATGTAGACGTTGGAATCGGTTTCAGCCCCGCTATACGTCCCTGTCTTCGTTTTGACGAGGACGTTAATGCCTTTAAGGTCAGCGGTCCCATTCATGTTCTGTAGATATACAGGGTTGTACGGGGTAAAGGCAAATATGTCGTACAGCACCGTGCACAAGTATTTATACTGATATGATATGATATGATATGAATCTTTATTGCATGTTCTTGCCCAGATGGGCTAAATGCACAAGAGGAAATGCAGTATGCAAAAACATGAGTATTGCATACTGGGACGCTATATTCTAATGCTAATTTCTAGGAATTTATACAATCATCTTAACAATACTATATACTACCTATCATCTACTGTTAGTTGCCAATTCTTCTCTCTTTTTGTAACATTTGGAAACATAATTACATAGTTTGTCTGCTATATATTCGTTCTTGCATGACATCAAGTGTTTAAACATGTCAAAAACTAAAGAGAGAGCAGAACTTTATAGTCTGATACAATACATGTTTCCCAGCTTCAAACACTTCATCAGTACAGACAAATCTATATGTATAATAAGAAGTTTATTGCAAATTCATGCCCGGAGGCATGCAAATTACAAACACAAAAGAACAATTTGAAATTTGAGTATAAAATAACTTAAATCTACATGATGAAAGTTAGTTGTCTAAATCTATAGTTATGCCTAAAACTATGTCTGAAGGGTTCGGCTTCACTTTCGTAAACCATGGCAGCGTAATGTCCCACCTTTTCCAAAATTAGTGGCTTTGAGGAAATTAAAAGAAGAATATTTTTTCTTTGTAAGTTTAGCGAAATTGGGATAAATTGTAGAAGTTTGAATAGTCAACTCATTTCGAGCGTTGTTATGGAACGAAGAGTTTGAGATAAAGTGTATTTCGTCTTCCACAGCCTTTGCACTACAATATGTACACATTCTTTCACATACATGTATGCTTCTCTCTATATATACCGGCCTCTCACTATTTCGAGAGGATGGGCGCTAACTTAACTCTAACAATAAACAGTTTATTTTACGAATATACGCAAATTATTATCTTCTGATTATTTATTCAACTTGCAGTTTGAGGGGATTCAAACCAAGAGAATTAAAAACAGCAAAACTCACCTCGGTTCAGAAAATGCAAAAGACGCCTGTTTTGCTGAAAAAAATTGTCTTACAATGAGAGAGAATATATGGAGAGGCCGTTTTTCCCTGTCACCATGACAAAAACTAGCTCAACCGGTCTTTATGGAAATTCCTAATTAAAAACTGTAGGTCTTTATGGAAATTTCTAATTAGGCCACAGCAAGTAATTTTTATGGATGTCATCAGCGCGCGCATTGATTTTCGCCTGATTTTGAAAAAAAAAAAGAAATTTTGTTGCCTTATGACAGTGGTCAACATGCCGAAAATGGGCAGAGATGTCTGTTGTCATGCCGGAAGGTGGATGGCGGATAACTATGAAGAGAAGAGACAAGAAAAGGCTCTGATTTAATGTTTTGTCTTTCACCTTGATGCAGTGATGTTTTATACATTCCTTTTATATGTGATGGTGGCTATATGTATGTGATGCTCCTACTGAATCAAAACCATTGTACAATGATTGAAAACTTTTATTTCTCAAAGTTGTTTCAATGAGATATGGATGTTGTAATAGTTATCAGTAAACTTAGCACAATACAGGTATTATTTCTTGTTTAACAAGGTTTATGATGTCAAGATTTGAAAATTTGAGAATCTTGTTTTTTTTGGGCCCGCCTTGTTTTTTTTTTTCGCCCTATCGCTTCAGATTTGGAGTCTGTGGAGGATGACATCCATAAAATTTACTTGCTGTGGCCTTACAGACAGTAGGTTTGACAACTTTATTCTGAAATTCACACTGGGATTGGCAGCACAAACGTGTCAAAGTTGATAAATACAAGGGAATCTTTCATACGCAAGCGCCACCAACCAGTTAATGAGCAAAGCACACAAGGTGTCCGAGACGATGAATGAGAACATAAGACGTGATTTCGTAGCATTGTATAGTCTGTTATTCCGAAGTTGCTTGTATACCCAGCATTGCCTGTAAAACAGGTTGCTACATTTTCAAATTTGACGTCACAAACCCTGTTAAACAAAAAAAAAATGATAACTATATTGTGCTAACTTAACTGCCAACTATTACAACATCCATTTGTCACTAAAAAACAACTTTCAAAAATGAAAGTTCTCAATCAATGTACAAAGGGTTTTAATTCAGGGGAAACATATATTTTAAAAAGGAAGGCAAATATATTACTGCATCAAAGTAAAAGTCAAAACAATAAATCAGAGCCTTTTCTTGTCTCCTCTCTTAATATTTATCTGCCATCCACGTTCCAGCATGGTAAGGCATCCCATTTTGCCCATTTTCGGCATGTTGACCACTGTAAGAAAGCAACAAAATTTCTTTTTTCTTTTTTTCCAAAATCAGGCGAAAATCAATGCGCGCGCTGATGTCACCCATAAGCATTACTTGATGTGGCCTAATGCCCAGGTTTTCGATAACGTTACCGCCTCCACCCATCTGCTTGAAGATTACTTACAAGGTGGGCGGGGCTAAAAAGCATGACCGACAGTTCAGTGACCTCTAACCCCGGAAGTAAGAGAGGTCAACATTTGACCCTAAGAACGGCGGGTGGTGTGAAACAAACACTATTTGTTCAACAGTCGTTCTTGCATTTAGGGTTTTGTCCCAAATACTATGTAACAAAAATGGAGTTAGGAAACATTGTCAAAGTTTCCGTGCGAACCCTAGACATAGACTCGTCTCCTATACAGGTAAGTTAGGATTTCAACTTCTGTTTTGAAGAATTTTAGCCTGTAGTGATATTTTTATTCTTCGGTGACCTAACTATATTATCCTCTTGCATGTTGGGAGCATTGTAATTAAGGCTGCGGTCCCTTGACATGAAAAGAACATACGTAACATGCCCTTAGGCGCTGCAGAAGTGTTTAATCTACCATGTAAATACAGCTTAATGTAATGGCTTAGAATTTATGCAGGACAACGTAAGATAACACAAATAGTATTCAACACCTTAAGAAGAAGGGTACAGATAGTGTTCAACGCCTTAAGAAAAAGAACATTAGACTGAAATTACTGGTAGATACTGTTACATAATTGTGTCACTGTACTTTGCACAAGGCTAAAATATGTCCACATTACACAACCATATAACTTGAAGCTTTGCTAGTGGTTAAATATTAACCAGGATTTTAGCCTACTAGTAGTCTAATGTTTATTGTCCTCCAGACTTGAGGCATTTACTGAAAAATAGTTTGAAGGCCAAAGCCAGTAAATTTTATGGATGACATCCTCCGCAGACTCCCAATCTATTATGTAATAGGTCAAAAATAAACAAGGCAGGTGAAAAAAAAGACAAGGCACACCAAAATAGTAAGATTCCTACAGTGTCAAATTTTGACATCATTAACCTTGCTAAACAAGGAATAATACCTATGTTATGCTAAGTTTACTGCCAACTATAATACAACATCCATTTGTCACTGAAACAACTTTGAAAAATGAAAGTTGTCAATCATTGTACAAATTCTGTTTTGATTCAATATTCGAAACATATTAAAGGAATGAAATACTTCATCAAATTAATGAATCAATTTTTTTAATTTACTTTTGATGATATTTTTTTCTTTATTCTTATTTCTTTTCTTTTTTTTCTCCAGGTTTCAGTGAAAGAGGAGGCCACTGCTGGGGAGGTTCTACAAAAAGTGGCAAACGTTTTAGGTAAGTTGACATTGATCTGAGTTTCTTACAGTTAAACTGTATGAACCCTTGACCACTCAGTCAGGCCCTTTCCCCAGTAGGATAGAATTGTCTGGATCAAAGCCAACAAAAAAGCTGTATCAAAGCAAAACTTATAAGTATTCCGCTTGATCTAGACAAGTGGAAAAAGGGCCTCAGAGGGCTTGAGATAAATTTTCTACATACATGTACCAGCACTAGTGTAATAAATTTGAACCTAACAAAGTTCACCTGTACCACTTATGTGTACTATTCAGAAATATTTGCCATTGTTTCTTTTGTACTTCATAGGTGGCAACACTCAATACAGCAAAATTAACAATGCACATTCAGTTACATGCACACACTACACAATGTAACTATAAGCCCAGTACATGTCCAAGTGCAGATTAGGTGCAGGTATAGACATTAAAAAATATCTGCACAGCTCCAATTTTACCTGCACTAAACCTGCATATACCCAGTACATACGTACATGGACCAGTGCATGTTAGGTGCAGGTAGACATGAGAAATACCTGCACACCAATTTTACCTGCACTAACCTGCATATACCCAGTACATGGACCTGTGCATTTTAGGTGCAGGTAGACATCAGAAATACCTGCACAGCTCCAATTTTACCTGCACTAACCTGCATATATCCAGTACATGGACCAGTGCATTTTAGGTGCAGGTAGACATCAGAAATACCTGCACAGCCCCAATTTTACCTGCACTAACCTGCATATACCCAGTACATGGACCAGTGTAGGTTGGGTGCAGGCAGACATCAGAAATACTTGCACAGCTCCAATTTTACCTGCACTAACCTGCATATACCCAGTACATGGACCAGTGTAGGTTGGGTGCAGGCAGACATCAGAAATACTTGCACAGCTCCAATTTTACCTGCACTAACCTGCATATACCCAGTACATGGACCAGTGCAGGTTAGGTACAGGCAAACATCAGAAATACCTGCACAGCTCCAATTTTACCTGCACTAACCTGCATATATACCCAATACATGGACCAGTGCAGGTTAGGTACAGGCAAACATCAGAAATACCTGCACAGCTCCAATTTTACCTGCACTAACCTGCATATACCCAGTACATGGACCAGTGCAGGTTAGGTACAGGCAGACATCAGAAATACCTGCACAGCTCCAATTTTACCTGCACTAACCTGCATACATGTATATACCCAGTACATGGACCAGTGCAGGTTAGGTGCAGGTAGACATCAGAAATACCTGCACAGCTCCAATTTTACATGCACTAACCTGCATATACCCAGTACATGGACCAGTGCAGGTTAGGTGCAGGTAGACATCAGAAATACCTGCACAGCTCCAATTTTACCTGCACTAGTAACCTGCATATATACCCAGTACATGGACCAGTGCAGGTTAGGTGCAGGTAGACATCAGAAATACCTGCACAGCTCCAATTTTACCTGCACTAACCTGCATATACCCGGTACATGGACCAGTGCAGGTTATGTGCAGGTAGACATCAGAAATACCTGCACAGCTCCAATTTTACATGCACTAACCTGCATATACCCGGTACATGGACCAGTGCAGGTTAGGTGCAGGTAGACATCAGAAATACCTGCACAGCTCCAATTTTACCTGCACTAACCTGCATATACCCAGTACATGGACCAGTGCAGGTTAGGTGCAGGCAGACATCAGAAATACCTACAGCTCCAATTTTACCTGCAGTAACTTGCATATACAGGTGGTATTTTAAGCCCCATATTGCTTTAATTTACTGTTCAATCAAACTTCTTTATATTACAAGTTTAATCTGAGCTTAATATACGTGTTACATGTAGTAAGTGTTTCTGACGTATCTTGGAATAAAATTTTTTTCAGGTATCCATACAGAAAACCTGCCTCTGTTCTCGTTGTTTGAATGTATGGAGGCACCGATAAACAGACTACGTGACCAGGACATAGTACCCTTCACTACAGGTGAGGAAACTCAAATAAATTCAAATACTGTACAGTATTGGAGGTAATTTTTATTGTAGACAAACCTCTCTTTTGTGAGACATTTCTTACTTTACTTTTTTTACTTTTCTTACTTTTATTGTGAGACTTTGATATTATAAATATTGCTCATATTTTGGACCCAACAGTTGAAGGAAGTCCCTTCTCTTTAGAGTTGTTACAGTTTTTCCATTTATTGATAGGTGATTAGAAGTTTTAAATTCATTGTTTTTATTAAAATCCAGCCTGGTATGTTCACTATATGGCTCCTGTCAAAGAATATGGGGCTATCATTTTGATGCCATGGTGTTTTTATTATTTTTTTTCTGCTCTGTGGCACACATGCATTTCTTATTAAAAAATCTGAGAACTAATAAATAAAATTGGTGTGGCCTAAACATACATATAGTACTCACCTGCCCCCCTCCCCCTTGTCCTTAGGTTTGAGTATTCAGAAGTGGTGTTTTGAACCAGTGAAAGAGGAACAGGTGCTGTCCAGGAATGTGGATACAGCTGCGATACAGCTGCTGTTCCTACAGGCGCAGGCAGATGTCAGGGAAGGTGAGGCTTAGATTTGTTTACCCCTTTTGTTTTGTCCAGACTATTATAACTGCCCAATATTTATGATATACATGTAGGGTGTCATACCAGCTTTTGTTACCTTAGCTGTATCAACTTACTATGTTAGGTAGCTGTACTAAATGTAAACTTAAAAGAATTTTTTTTTCCAATACACAGGTTTGGGATGCAACCCATTTCTTTTTCATTGAATTTTTTTTATTGTTTCTTTTTTTCAGCTATAAAACGGTTAATGATCAATCATCACTACCTATTGTCCTGTACCAGCCAGGACCCTTAGCTAGTACATATTTTACTTTAGGTGCTTTAACTTAGCATAACTGTATTAAGCATGTTTTCTAAATGATGATCTTCAATTCCAGTAAGTAATTTTAGTGTCAGTAAAACTTCTGCACTGCACTTGGTTTATATAGTAGGACAGATTTAATAACTTTTAGCTTGGCTCAACAGCAATACCCAGTATTTTACTCATTTGACCTTGCATTTTGTGTAATCACCCTTTTTTTTTCTAGGAAAACTACACCCCAGCCCTGAACAGAGGACAAAACTAGAAGGTTAGTCACAGCTACAAGTATATGATATCCCTAAGTGCATTGAATTTGTTTCAAGCTCGTTATAGGCTCTGTCAATAACATGAATAGAATAGAAGATGAACAACACTTTATTTTAGACTGTACTTTATATTCTAATGAAAGACCTGTCCTTTTTAATTATATCAAAGAGAAGTTCCCATACTTTGAACACCTAGGTGCAAATGATAAATTTATATTTTTGATGCGTCTAGACAAACCCTATATCACAAACATGATCTGTTCACACATTTTCCACTGTACGAAAAAGCGAAAAGAAGTTGACCTCTCTATATTAGCTCAGTGACTAGGACACTTTGTATTAGCCTAGTATAGTACTCTTATATATTCCTTATGTATGTATGTCTAAGTCAAGTAGTGCATCTCTTGTCTCCAATTTTCTATATACGTTTGTTATGTGTCTGTTATATCTTGACCTGTACCTAGCCCGTCGTGGCATGAATGTACAATAAAGGTATTTCATTTCATTATTACGAACGGATATACACAGTGGAAAGTTGTTATTGAAAGGAGAAAAAAAAAACAGTTGTTTGGTTTTTAAATAAGAAGAAACACAGTGCAACTAGAAAGGCCAATATTTGCTTTGGAGCAAATACAGCGATGGCTTCACCACATTTTACGACATGGCAGGGAAAGAATGAGAAACACAAGGGAAAACAATGCTTTACATTGATATAACTATAATATGAAGTAACATACAACTAAGATACAACAGTTGGATAGCTATTCCCTACCTTTATTGGTTAGGAGTTTTAATTTAGTTCATAATAG